AGGGTCGAGGTCGTGTTCGATCACTGCTGCGGCTGCATGCGCCAGTGCCCCTCGTTTTATGGAATGCGCTGTCATGCCGAATGGGCGGAGTAGGTTTTCCATACCTCTTGTAGTTAAGTTGTGAGCCGCTCCCCCTCCACCATTCTCGTGGTGACGCCTCTCACCCTTTTTGCGCTTTTTCCCCCGATAGCCACGTACTTTGCCGCTCTGTGAGGGTCGATTTTGAATGTTTTTGGGAGAGCCCCCCAGTCTGCAATGAGGGCTTCCTTGGTTCGAGGGTGGGGAATAAAATTTTCCTTTTGGAGTAGAGCGATTTCGCCCCACCGACTGGCCGTGACCCAAGCGAGTCGTAGGGCAACCCGGTCGTTTTCCGAGGTTAAAATATCGCCGATGAGATCCAATTCCCACCTCTCCATGGGGCGGGCCTGTTTTATGGGGTCTGCGGCCGCCTTCCTTTGAAGACCGGCCAAAAACATCCTGGCCGGTGGCCTCCCTGTGGCCAGTAAGGTCAACAAAGTTCTTGTGTATTGCACCGCGCTGCCATTGTCCAGTTGCAGACTTACTATAAAAAGAGGAACGTTTTCCTCCCGAACCTCGAGATCGTTCCTTTTCGCGAAGTCGCAGAATCTTCGCATGATGGACGCCCTTTGTTCCCAAGCCGAATGGGTCCATATACCCTTGGCTATGCGATTCGCCTCGGACGCCAGCGCCGTGACATATGGGTTGTTTGGCGGTGCCGCAATTACTGCTGTCTCGTGTTCTAGGGTTTTTAATGGCGGAAGAACCTGTGCCAACGGATTTCTCCCAGGTGGGGGGCGCCGGTGGGGTCCGGCGTGAAGGGACAATGTGCTGGCTCCCTCCCGCGTAGAATTGCCCGTTTCCCGGAAACCCGGCAGCACCCGAGCCACTCGGTAAGGATTCCAATAGTTTCCAAGCCCCGCATTTCATTGCTTCCGGGGCCGATAATTTTTTTTGGCTTGAACGGTGTCTTTTTTACCTGCACATAGCAAGTTTTGCTGTAATGCCCTATGCGGCCAAATCGAAAACAACGCGCAAAGCTTTGAGGAGAAGCGGAATGCTTTTTCGTTTTTTTGGACCGCCTGAAAAACTGAGTCTTCCTCTCTTCTGGGATCGCCGATGGCATTGGCAAGGGTTTGGGCGCTGACCCCGGGCTTTTTTTGCCGCCTGAGCTACCCGAAATTGGTAATACAGCCGTCTGTCCAATTGTGATTGTTCGGCCGAAATTCCCTCGTGGTGGATGGCATAAATCCGCGCCACAAAATTGCCCCACGCCTGACCTAGATCAAAATCAGGTTTCATGGGCAAGGAAAAAGGAAGGCGATAAGCCGCCAGCTGCGGTCCCGGTGAGGCCCCCAACAAATGCACCAAGGCACCCTCAAAAGGTCTGGATGTTTTCTTCACGTCGGAAACCCTTTTCCACGAACTTATTTCTCAACTCTAGAATTCCACGTAGCCCCACCAGGGGTTGAGCCCCCAACTCAGCAAATGGCCGTTCAGCATGCCCGCCCATCTTGGCAGAATGTGCCACGGTGTGAACATCAGGTGGAATCAAGTCGTTTATACCCTCTGTTGCACCCCGCTGCGCTGGCAGTCACGTCTGTTTTACCTTTTGAGCAAGCCGCGCCTGCATCTGATTGATCTGGGGTTGCATCTGGTTGTTTTCTTCGCACAGCTAGTTTTTCTAAGATTCCAACGTATTAATCTGATGCTGCGTTTAATTGATTTGATCGTGTGATCCCAGCGTTCAAGCGTAGGTGCCCTGTTGAATCTTTAAAGTTTCCTTAGCCAGTTGTACTGGTACCATTTCATATTGCTGATACCGTATCGACTTGCTTTCTCCCAGTGCCATCCACTAAGTTCGGAAAGTCGCCCTGGCATCCTCAGGTGCCTTGAGGGAGTTCTTGTTCTTTGGCATGTTAAAAGGCACCATGGAGTGCCGCACAAAAACGAAACTGGCTTTCGCACCATTCTCCAGGCAAATGGTCAGCTCCCCGTTTTCAATTGTCAATGTGCCCTCGACGCGATGGATCTGCGTACTGAAATTCGGTCTTTACTCAAAAGAAAAAGGAGTCCGACCGCAATGTTCGACTAGCGCCCTGGGGCCCGACAGGCCCGTCATTTATTCCACGCCCGCCAGGGCCTGCTGGAAAGTGGTGGGTGACATTGCGGTGGCTTGCTTGTGGCTTACCTTTTGTTTTAAAACTTACATTCTGCGACGCTTTTTTTCAGCAAGAGATAATGAGAAGAATGATTACGGGTTACGGAATCTCCTCTTAACGAATTGGGTAAAGCTTGACCATTCCTTTCGCAGGCTTCCAAAAAAAAAGAAAATGCCAATTGCGTAAGGCAATGCGGGGCTCGTCAAACAGGCTTTGGCCATTCAACAAGCACCCCGGCGCCCACCAAACAGCTTTTCCGGCACTGCTTTTTGTGGTGGCAAAAAACAAACTGCCGGGTCGGAGGCATTGTTGCATAGCCTCTCCCAGGCCCCCCCCAAAAAAACAAGGGTGGGGCAATTTTTGCGGCTTGGGCATATTCCCCCCGCCACGAGGGAATATCCACCGAAAAAAAATGTAAACGGGCAGGCGGCTGTTTTATCAGTTGCGCGCCGCACGCGCAGAGCGGGAGCATCCCGGCGTGCAGACCCAGACCCTCGCCAACGCCTT